AATTATTTACTAGCCAATGAGTTCAAAAGTAATGAAAATGAAGATGAGGAAAGGGAAGATAATGAGGAAGAGACGTGTGTACTGGAATGTGAAGAAGACGAAACATCTCAGGAGGTATATGACGAAGAAGAGGACGACAACATGATTGACATTGAGGATGAAATTAACCTAGAAGCTGAGAGAAAAAGAAGAGGAATGTTGTGCAACAATTTATTGAAGCAACTGTATCAGGAAGCATTTAGGCGTTCTTTTGACTACTATGTATTATATAGGACGCCTAAGAGAAAGGTGAGAATGCATCGCTTTGAGAAATATGGGTCACCGAAAAAAATATTACCCCTACAGGTTGGATAACCGAAAAAGAAGCATTATAAGAGAGTAATGAGGAAGTACAAGAAGCAGAAACTTAATGTGAAATATTGCACGTGGACTTGTTACAAGAAAATAATTCAACGGAGGATAAACAGGAAATGGAAATAGATGTAGCTAAAAAGGTCATCTTTAAGAGACCAACTATNTGAAATATTGCACGTGGACTTGTTACAAGAAAATAATTCAACGGAGGATAAACAGGAAATGGAAATAGATGTAGCTAAAAAGGTCATCTTTAAGAGACCCACTATGAAATTAACCAAACACTTGAGGCTATTGTACGTGAAGGTCTTAGTCAATGGTATACTTGTGGAAAAAGTGGTCATCGACAATAGAGCAGCCATAAATACCATCACATCCAGAATGATGAGAAAATTTGCAAAGACAGAAAGCGATATGATCCTAACAGAAGTTGTTCTCACAAGTTTCAATGGGGGAGCAACTTCAGCTAAAGGTGTGATGCCACTGGACATAACTGTGGGAACAACTACTAGGACCACAGTCTTCTTTGTGATAGATGGTCCTACTAGTTACAATGTGCAGCTAGGAAAAGATTGGATTCACGGGAGTCATTGCATACCTTCATCGCTCCACCAATGCCTGGTTTTCTGGAACGACAAAGGCGAAGCAGAACTGGTGCAAGTAGACCATAGACCCTATGTCGCAGAAGCAAACTCAGTAGAAAGGTTCATGTATAAAGAAAATTAAGGCCCATTAGGGTAGTTCAAGATGGGGAAGAGACTTAAATTGTGGCACAGAGTGAAGAGCCATTTTCAGTATAGGCACTTACTGAAATGTTCAATCAAATGAGGCCAAACATAGTGGCCCTTGAAGAGCCAATAATTGACAAAAAGATAATCAATGAACTCTAATGAGTTGTGAGCAACAAGAAAATATGACCAATATTCAGGCTTTCAAAGCCAAATTAATGTCTTTCAATAAGGAATGCAAAGAAAAGACAAAAGAAGAAGCAACATTAAAGACATTAAGAAACAAATTAGTAGTGTTCGAATTGGAGCAGAATATTGGTCGAGAAGTCAACAAAGTAAATTACTTAGAAGAAGAAGTGCCTACTAGGAACCTAGACGATGAAGTAATGATGATCATAAAGCCTGGGCATGCTCGAGAACAAGACCCTTTGATAAAGGTGAATATTGGCAACGAAGGGAAAGATCGCCCAACATTTGTAGTCAAATGGTTAGTCAAGAGGTAAGTAATAAATTAATCACTTTATTAAAGGAATACAATGATTGTTTTTCTTGAGAATATAAACACTCGTCTGGTTTAGATAAAATTTTGATAGAACATAAGTTACCAACTAAGCTAAATTTTAAACCTCATAAACAACCTCTTAGGCGTTTTGCCCCTAATGTATTACCTAAGGTAAAGAAAGAAATAAAGCGATTGTTAAATGCGAATTTTATTAGAACAACCAAATATATTGAGTGGTTATCTAATATCGTGACGGTGTTAAAAAAAATGGTAATATTAGGATGTGTATAGATTTTAGAAATTTAAACTTAGCAACACCCAAAGATGAATATCCAATACCTACAGTGGATTCTTTAGTAGATTCAACTGTCGGACATATAATGTATTCTTTTAAGGATGGATATTCAAGATATAACCAAATTTACATGGCTGAAGAAGATGTACATAAAGCGGACTTTAGATGCCCTAGGGTTTTAGGATGCTTTGAATGAGTAGTTATACCTTTCGGCCTGAAAAATGCGGGGGCATCTTATCAAAGGTCAATGAACCTAATTTTTCATGAATGATAGGTAAATTTGTTGAAGTATATGTAGATGACATAGTGGTCAAATCTATTAAAGAAGAAGACCATTTTGAACAATTAAAACGTTCATTTGAACGAATGAGGCAATACAAACTAAAATTGAATCATTTGAAATGTGCATTTGGTGTTAATGTAGAGAATTTCCTTGGTTTTTAAGTACACAAAAGAGGAATTGAACTTGATAAAAATAAAACAAATGCCATTTTTGAGGCCAAACCACCTAGTAACAAGAAAGAATTCCAAAGTTTTCTAGGTTTTGAGACGTTTTATCTCTAATTGTTGATAAGTGCATTTTTACATACTTATTTTATTGTCAAAACATGAGCAATTGTTGATTAATTTGTTGGAATATAGCTTAATTCTATGTAATTTATGTTTTGCAGGACGAGCGATGAATGTAGCGAAAATAAGAAGAAACAAGTTAAAAATCACCAAAATGGAAGAAAGTGAAAGTTCATGGACTAAAGTGAAAATACTAAAAAATTGTGTTGAAGCTCATGATGAAGGTTCGAGAATCCTAAGGGTTGATTGGAAGTAATTAGAAGTAAAAAAGAATTGGAATATGATCAAAATATTATCAAAATCGATTTCCAATTCGCACAAGATATATTCCAAATTTTTAGCCGAAAATTGAGACCCATTTTGAGCATAGTAAAAGTCCCAATTGGAAAAGAGATATTTCTAAAAAAGTTGTAACTATTTGAGTTATCTTTTCAATGCATTTTGAATCTTCTAAATCGAATAAAGAGAAAGTTATAACCAAAGTACTGACTATTGTGTAGAGACAAAAAATCCGCGAGCGAAGGCAATTTTCCTTATTCGATTAAAACTCTTTTGGAAACCAATTTGGACATGATTTTCATCAAATTTTCGACTCCTACAAATACTTAACAATGGAATACATACGAATAAGGCTTCCATACACCATTCTTCTCCTCTT